CCCTCCCAGTAAGTTCCCACTAAGAGGTGTGGCCATGCTCAACTCCCTAGAACCTGGGCTGGGCTTAAGACTTCTCTGACCAAGAGAACAGAATGTGGCAAAAATTATGTTGTGCAAGTTCCGGAGCCTGTGCCTCAAGATGTCTCACAGCTTCTGCATTTATTCTCTTGGACCAAGACTGCCAAGTGAAGAAACTCAGGCTAGAGAACTGAATGATGAGAGACTACATGGAGAGGTCCCGGTCATCCCTGCCGAGGCTCCAGACATGTGGGTGAGGACATCTCAGACCCTTCAGCGAGGCTGACCCTCCAACTCAGTGCATAGGAGCCCAGGTGAGGCCAACGGAATAACTGTCCAGCCGACTCAAAGAATTACTAGAAATTATTATAAGCCACTAAGACTTGGGGTGGTTTGTTACACAGCAGTAGATAACTCGGAACAGCCCTCAGTTTTCAATCTAACAGTTACTGAGATCTTGTAACTTTGCACAGTGCCTTATGCAAGAAGCTTAATTTTTTTAGTCACAACTGAACAGCTGATTGGTTTCTTGGTCTCTGCTACCTCTAGGTCTCTGCTACCTCTTGTTTCCAGTCTGTACTTAGCATCTATGAACTGGAAAGGAAGGCATGTTTCCTCATGTCCACAGCCGATTTCACCAATAGCACAACCATTTCGGAATTCTTCACCCAGGCTTCTGGCCTGCTCTTCTGTGTTCCGAGTCCTATCCTTGGACTTCCTGAGTTAGGAAGTGCCTGATTTTAGAGTCCTCTGACAGATCCCTCAGCCCCTGCGCCTAAAGGATAGTAGCACCCTCAATAGCTTCAATATTCTGCAACAACTTTGAGGCTTCCCAAGATGTTGTTGAAGGAGACCATATAATAAAGGAGTCAGAAACACAGACAAACCTGGGCTCGATCTTCTCTCTCGTACACAGTAATTTGTGTGGTCATGAACAAGTTATTTAACCACTCCAAACCTGTTTCCACATCTGCAAAAGAGGATATTAATAGCAACTCCCTTAAGATCATCATGAGGTTAAATAAAGCAACGCAGGTAAAATGCTCAGCTCAGTCTTCGCCAGGTAGTATTTACGACAGGCAGCTCTAAGATGGCCCCAATGTTCTTCATCTCCTTATATTCACATCCCCTCCCCTTTAGTTGGGCTAGATCCCGTGACTTGTTTCTAAGGAAAAGAATATGACAGAAGTGATGTGATGTCACTTCCAAGATTACAAAAAGACTCTTGGGCACAGTCTCTCGCTCTCCAATCACCAGCTGCCACGTCACAAAAACACTTAGGCAGCCTGTGGAGAACGTGACCAGGAACAGAAGTCTGCCAACAACCACATGAGTGAACTCGGAAGTAGATCTTCTGAGGCCTGCCGATAGCCACATGGGTGAGCTCTCCAGCCCCAGCAAAGTGTCGAGGTGACTATAGCCTAAGCCAGTAGCTTGTGACAACCTCATGAGAGACCCTGAGCCAGAGAGACACAGTCTAAGCTGAACTTGGATTCATGGCCAACAGAAACTATGGAATAATAAATGTTTGTTGTTTTAAGCTACTAAATTTGGGGGTAATTTGTTGTGCAGCAATAGACAATTGATACAAAGAACAAATATGAGCTCTTAGGAGATACAGAAAACAGTAATTGTGGTGCCACCCAGATTCCCCCTTTTCTGGATTAGACACTCATTCTCCCAGCTGCTCCAGAGTGTTTGTGCCAACAGCTCTCAGCCGGTTCCCTCTCCAAGAACTGCTCTCAGCTGAAGAGAGCCACCTCCCCCAAAGTCACACATCCTTCCCTCCCCAGGGGCAGCCCATATCCAGTGACTGGTTGGTGCAGAGATATAAAGATCAGGACCTATTGCCTCAAGGTGGGACAATTTTGAAGAGCCACCCTCTCCTGAACCCCCTGTGAGATCAGCTGAGACTTCATTGAATGCATCACAGTTCAACTCTATGCCCATCTTGACTTCTGTCCAATCCTACTTCCTTGAAGACTCTGTAGGTTGTGATTCTCAATACTTGAGACAGTTCCTAGGGAACCCAATCTCATACAGTTGGTGCCAGGATTGGTCCACGGAAGCAGACTCTAAAATGGGATTTTGGACCCTTGCTGGGCAGCTGGTGATGAACACCCCATCACTAGTGATAGCCGGAACTGACATCCCTCTCAGGCTGAAGTAGTGCAATTCTTCAAACTTTGCTCGTGGCGAACCATAGAAGGGAATGAACAGGGGAGGGGGCAATATCACAGGCTTTCGAGAGGTTGGGGAAGTACTAATTCTCAAGACAGTGGAATCCGAAAGCTAATGGCGAGTGCCATTGCTACATTAGGGGAAGATGGAAGACTGAGGGTGTTCAATCATCAGCTGAGGGCAAGTATGAAAGTCAGAAGGCTTGTGTTATTGAAAACCACTACATTTGTGATATTCATTATGGAGCAATAGAAAACTAAAACAGATGTGGGTACCTGGAAGCAGGGTGTTATAACAAATACCTAAAAATGTGAGATTACTTTGGAATTGGGCAGTGGGTGGAGGCTGGAATTGTGAGGAGCATGATAGAAAAGGCCTAGATCGCCTTGAACAGAACTTTGGTAGAAATATCATGTTAAAGATGCTGGTAAGAAGAACGTGAGAAAAATTATAGAGCGATCCTAAATTGCATTAGAAAAGCCTCAATCTCCATGAATAAACCGTAAGTAGAAACCTGGACTTTAAGACACTGATGGTCTCAGAAGGAAGTGAGGAATATGTTATTGGAACCGGAGGAAGGATGATTTTGTTATGTAGAGGCAGAAACTTAGCAGAATTGTGTCTGGCATTTATGTGGAAAACAGAAATTATAAGCAATGAGCCTGGATATTTAACCGAGGAGATTTTCTAGGTGAAGGCTGGTTTCTTTTTGCTGCTTATATTAAAATACAAGAGGAGAGAAAGAAATTAAGGGAAGACCTGTTTAACAAAAAGGAACCAGGACTTTTGGTGATTCGGGAAATTCTCAGCCTATCCGATTTGCAAAAGATACTAAAACCAGAAATGGCTGTCAAAAGTGGCACAGAGGAAAACCCGGGTATGTGTCTATTCAGTCTTTTGCTAAAACTTCAGAAAGACCCAAAGGTCAATCAGGGTTGTTTGCTAAGGCCACCACAACAAAGTACTACAAACTGAGTGGCTTAACCAACAAAAATGTATTGTCTCATAGTTCTTGAGTTTACAAAACCAAGATCAAAGTGTCGACAGGGTTCCTTCTGAAGACTGAGCATCTGACCCAGTCCTGTCCCCCAGCTTCTGGTGATTTGCTAGCAATCTTTGGCGTTCCTTGGCTTGTAGAAGCATCACCTTAATCTCTGTCT